TGTCCCTGATTGTCTCACTGACGCCTGGATTCCTGGGAAAGGTGGTGCGGATCAGCTGGAAGAGCTTGCGGTAATTGCCTACTGCCCCTGCCTCCTCCATTTCTTGAGACCGACTGGTCCACCAAGCTTCCTTGTCAGCACGTAGGCTCTGCTTTAGTTCACGCCTAATAGCCCGTCTGGTCACACTGTGTTTAGAACCAGTCGGGAGGTGTCTTCTGGATTCTAACGGTCACCGACCTCTCGGATATCCAGTGACTGGTGCGGTGACGATGGATAGTGCCACAAGCAGATGCTCCTGCGTCGTGCATGGCGGTCGAGATCCTATTCCACTGAAGCTCAGTATCATTAGGACAAGACAGCAGAAGTTCGGTATACAGTGCTTCTTGATAGGCATGCCTGACCGAGGGCTGAGATAATTTCTCATTTACCAATCGGAGGGGACGCTTGGTGCGCCTCCTGGTAATGTTTATGGAGAAACGACAGCGTACCAAGGCATGATCTCAGTCGATGCAGGTATTTCAGTACGAGCGGCAATCCATGATGGAACCACGCCACCTGTAACTAATGACAATGTGGTCAAGTTGGGTCCATCGCTGGCCAGTTACAAGAGGACGCCAAGTGGCACTTCGGCGCCTACTGTGTCTAAAAGTAGTGCTACTAAGAAACAACTGGTGCTCCGCACATAGTTGCAGTAGACGCTCGCCGCTGTCAGTCCGTTCGGAATTAAGCCCACAATTACCACCCAGCTGAGCTTCTGAAGAGCTCAGACGCCCTACTTGTGCGTTCATATCCCCTGCAAGTACTATAATATCTGAACTAGTAGCACTGCGTAATAGCGCAATCAGTTCGTGATAGAATGTGTTCTTGACAGTATTTGATCTGCAGTCGGTGGGAGCATAAACGGAAATCACAAACAAACAGCGTTTGGTACTACTTCGTGAATCAACCTTAGCTGTTCACCGGAATCCAATCAACCAACAATGGCTCAGCCTTGGAGTTTAGAATGTTACTTACACCAGTTTGACCCGTGAGTGCTCCATCGGCGTCTGCGGATGCGTGCAACCAATAACGAGAGAATAAGTCGGGTGCAGTTAATTCAACAACTCCATTATGGTCATTGATCCTAGTTTCGGACACACAACACACATCAATACCCAGTGTGTCCAAGGTGCGTACGAGTGCAGCCTGTTGACCTGTTGGTGCGAACATTGAGTGTCGCCATGGAAACAGGATAGTGGGGACTTATAAGGGACCTTTGCCGATAGGCTTCCGATAGGTGCTGTGGGATGGTGGCTGCTGATGGTTCTACTCCAGTGGCACTTCGGTTGCTGTCAATTAAGCTGGGAATTATAGAAGGTTAGTAATGAGGGTCGGAATGGGAGTGAGAAACAGGTGGAAAAGAAGAGGCGCTAGCAGTAGCATTTTTTTCGCCTATCCACCCAGCTGTATGCAGCAGATAAGGCGACCTTTAATAATCTGCGCGACGGCCGATGCAGGATGAAGTTTGTGTTTGGAGAAAAATGCATGATTATATGTGGGCTGGGATACTTCCAGGGCGTCCAGACCTAGACAGGAGGATGATTAGGGTCCTCATCCGAAGCCTTTGGCTCAAAAGCATGTTCGTAAGACAGAGGGGAGGTAGCAATCATTTAGTTTTATAGAAATGGACGCTTTCTTCCAGTTCCCCCTGGATTTGAGTTCTGAAGACAACGTGACCCTAGGTCTACCAGTTGAGAAACATGCTGTAGTTCATTCCCGATAAGCAGGGAACGCTTTTGGGGGGCCATTTGGCTCTAATCGTAAAATGGAACACTTTGCATAATTTATGGGCAACTGCCACAGAGCAGCCAAGTCCCAAAGTTTATCGAGGGCCCGTTGCAGAGACTGGACACTGTCAAAATTTTAGGTCATCTGCAAACATGAGAGATGGTACTCCCAGCAGTTTGGGCAGCTCATTGAGACACAGAGAAAATAGTAATGGGCCAACCACCGAACCATGAGGAATCCCACTGACGACCGACTGGCGGACAGACTAGACCCCAGACGAACACATATCTTTCTCCCTGCCAGAAACGTGGTGACCCACTGTGGTGCACGCCCTAATATTCCATAGGACCGAAGTTTCAAGGAGAGGCGAGAATGTGGTACAGTGTCGAACGCCTCGGAGAAGCCAATAAACAGTACATCTACTCTATGACCCCGATCCAAAGCATCCGCCCAATATTCGCGTGCAGCTGGAAGATTAGTCACATAGGAGTGACCCTTGCGAAAGCTGTGTTGAAGTGGACTGAGCAGACCAAACTCCCGCAGGTGGTTTTCAAGCACATCCCTAACCATATCCTCCAATCAGCTGAGCAGTACGCTCGTCAAACATACCGGTCTATAATAGGCAGAGAAATGCTTGTCGCCCCTTTTAAAAATCGGGCAGACGATAGCATCCTTCCAGTCCTTGGGAAAGGAGCAGCCGCGATGCGACAACTGAAACAAACGCGTCAATGGGCTACATAGTTCGCTTGCGATTTCGTACAAAAGCTTTGGGTGAATATCACCCATCCCAGCAGATTTAACCCCTGAAGGAGATGGAGAACTTGTGCCTCCGAAATTGAGACAGTTAAACAGGAGTACTGTGGGACTCTCATCGCGAAATCGACATGCGGTAACTGTTATTTTCATGACCAGTGTTGGCAGTGGCGCCGTCGCTGCCTAATAACACTGGGATAAATGAACCAACGGTACTACGTCTTTTGACGTAGGCGAAGAATCGTTTTGGTTAGCGGAGGCTGTTATTCAGCTCCATCTCATAGCTTAGTCTAGTAGCTCGTGACTCTTGCAAGCAGTTCACGGTTCACGATAACGGCGGAAAGTACATTCCAAGAGAACTGTCCGGTAGATCCGTCAGCATCTTGCCCGCCTATACATTAGCTGTTGTGCGACTGAGTCCAACCATGGTGGCTATGCTTTGACAATCACCGCCGAAAAAGGGATGTGGGGTGGGATATATTACAGAGGAAAGACTTAAACGTATCCCAAGCCGTTTGTATATCATCATCCAGCAAGATGATGCATGGGGAACTTACTGCCCTGGCTATAATAGAGTAAAAGTTGGCGTGCCAAATGTTCGTAGTTCGGACCCTGTGTGAATCGTAGTCTCTAATGTGAGCACAACTGAATGGCAAACACACATGGTCACTAGCTCCCAAAGGGGGAGCATACTCAGTCACTCACAAAGTCAACCGACACTGCGAAAGCTAGGTCTAAGAGAGAAGGAGCATGACCCTCCTGGTGAGTAGATAGACAAATTGGTGTAAGGGTACTTCCAGTGTTAAGTAAACAAGCTAGCAGCCCACCCTTTTGTCGCCGCCTCATAAGATAGGTCATGCCAATTTACTACAGGGACGTTAAAGTCCCCCAGTATCATGCATCTATTCGCAAAGTGAGTGCGGATGAAGTCAATGTAACTCCTAGAGACGCTGTCAGGGCTCCAAGACAGCAACACAACTTTAAAGACTCCATTCTATTAGCTTAATTAAAAGTATGCTTTTGATATGTTTATACCACATCTGATGTACGGGGCGACTCCACCGCGGCGATGAGATGGGCTTCCATACACACATACACACACATTATACACACTGTCGCAATACCTAAAAGGAAAAACGGAATAAAATGCAACAGGTGCAGGCCAGCTGAGCTACCGGTAACGGATGGGCATCGTTCCGGTAAGCTACCGGCTACTATGCAGCATTAAAAAAATTTACTATGCAAAATTATAAAATGCTAAATAATGAAATCGTGGTTGGAGGGGAAGGATAAGAGGGATGGGGTGCGACAAAGAAACTCACAGCACGAACGCCATTCAGGTCGGATCCTAGCCATATCAACAGGTGTATCCAACCAAACGTGTTCATCGTCTTTCGGACCCCAACCAGGGAGCCGAGACGCTCCAACCGAGACCAGCTTCGAAGTGAGAGCCTTCATTCCTCTCGACCAAGTCATCGCTTGGCCACCTCTTCCCTTCTTCCATCCACACCCTCGGCGCGCAAACAACGCACGTCGCGGGACTCGGTGGGCTGGCATGCGTAACACGTGGCCGAGCCATCGGAGCCTGGTGTGTGAAATAACGGTGCTGAGAACAGCTTCAACGAGTGAAGCTGTTCTCACTGGATTACCGTCGCCACCAGGAAAGTGAGTTTAGCCCTACGTATTCTTAGAGAACTGTGAAGTGGATTATAAGGGTTCCATTATCAAAACGCTGGGAGTTAAACATGAAGTCCTCGTCGGAATTCATTCAAAACAGAGGATCCGAGTGCGGTCCAATAAGGCTTTGGCCTTCCACGTTGTGAATGACAGGAGCGGCTATCCAAAGCCCGTCGGATGTGCGCAGACAACAGAAGGATTAAAATGACTTCTGGGTTCCCACTTCCTGGAGTATGTCAGGGTGTTCCTGCTTCCAAGGCAGCTGCAACGGTCCTCTGCGCAGTGTCTCTACGACCCAGACTATTCCAGCAATTACTGCAAAGTAGTGAGGCTGACAAAGGAGCAAGATTCTGCTCTCTATCGTCCAGTGATCTATCCTTGCGCAATTGTGGTCAACCGTATGCGCATAACAAAGTAAGCAAGACGTACTCACAAAAAACCCAAATTAAAAGAATAAGACGCGTCCCCAAAACGCCATGTTTCAAAACGCTTTGCAGCTGAACTAGAAAATGTACGTGTAAACGCCCGAGACAAAACACTAGCTGTGATGAAGACAATGGCATATAGATAAGTCAGGAAGCCGAGATTACGTGTCAAACACCAGTGACTTAAAAAATAAAGTGAAAAACTGCGATTTACAGCAACAATGCGCTCAGAGAGTCGAGAACTCAGTGGTTCATGCCATAGTACTACGGTACTATAACACCACTATTATAAAATCCAGGATGGCATTGCCGGCCTATTAACTACGCCGTTAAGGAATAATGAGACAAACTAGCGTAGTACGCCAAATATTTACTTACCGGTTTGTCAAATAAGGGCAAAAAATTAATCCTGTCTAAATAAGCTAAGAAGAGAACAGCAACCTTGTCATCCGAAAAGCAAATACGAGCTGCCCGGTGAGCACCACAAATTTGAATTAATGCATTAAAACAAGTTCATGTTCAAGTGGGACTAGAACGGTTGGATAAATCCACCTTAAGGTACCTTTCGTGGAGCGTCTTTGATTCAGTGTATTATTCGTCCGCGGTAACTGAAATACATAACAGGCAGATCAAGTTCAAGTTCAGGTGTTACTGGAAAGATATCATGAATCCCGTAATTATTCCTTCTTGAACGGATCGTTGATCCATGTGTTTATAGAGATGCTCAGACTTCTTGATGGGTCTAAAAGGAAAACACCCGAAAAAACACCCTGGTCCTCCAATTTAATACCCACGTTCCTTACATTAGCAATCCCTGCTTTGTCAGTTACGTGAAATAAGTAAGAGGGAGAAAAAGCGAAAGGGTAAGGGAAATCAATTTAAGAGAATAATACCAATGGTGATAAAATATACAGAAAGTAGAATCGAAGTATGAAGATGGGAATTAGTCAGGAAAAAGGAAAGGTTTCGTGTTGCCACCAAAGAGCGTCTAGTTGACGCCCAAACCCCTTAACCGTAGCTTCCTTGACAACATTTTCTGTAAGCAGGTTCCAGCACTCGATGACTCGATCTGATAACCGTGTCTCCGCTCTAACTCGATAGGTCCGCGGTTTGTCCAGCTTCATACAATGCCCGCGGAGACCAGATAATCTAGCAGGACTAGATAGCATGGACAAATCAGGGCCAACCTTACCAGTCAAAATACGGTAGGTTAGAATTACATCCCCTCTAATCTTTCAATAGTGCATTGATTGCATCCCCAAACTAAGTAGGTGCTCGGGGTACGTTTGTCCGCGTAATCCCTTGACCAACCTAGTACCGACACGCTGCACTCTTTCTAGTGCCATTTTGTCCCGGACAAGGCATGGTGGACAGGCCTGGACGCAATATTCTAGGTGGGGTCGCACGAACGCTGAGAAGAGCTTCACAAACACCTCAGCGGTTAGGGTCCAAAAATAACGACGGTTAAACCACAACATCCGGAAACCTTTACTAGCCACCTTCTTCCAGTTGTCTTTAAAGTGTAGTGTGGAACACTGGACCACACCTAGATCAACCTGATGAGTTAAGTGAGGAAGTTCACTCTCATGGAGCACAAAACTTGTGGAGGAAGCAGACGCTCAGATACGCAGCACTGAACACTTTGCCCGGTTTATGGGCAGCAACCACAAGACAGGCCATTCCCAGAGTCTATCCAGAGCCCGTTGAAGAGCCACAGGACTTCCAGGGATATCAACAATATTCCAAAGCTTTAGGTCATCAGCAGATAAGAGCGATTATACCTCAAGCTCCTCCGGCAAGTCCTTCATGAAGACAGAAAAAGCAGCGAACCTAGGACAGAGCCTTGCGGAACGCCGCTAAGTACGGCTTGTCGAAAAGAAAGACCGCTTCCCTCACGAATACACTGTTCCCGTCCATCCAGAAAAGCTGAAATCCACTGGAGAGCGCGACCTGCTATTCCATACGACCTCAACTTCAGTGCGAGTCGCGAATGGGGGACAGTGTCAAAAGCTTTGGCGAAGTCAATGAACACCACATCCACCGCATGTCCACTGTCTACGGCTTCAGCCCAGCACTCACGAGCTACCAGCAAGTTCGATTGACACGAAAATCCTTTGCGAAAACCAGTTGCTCGGCGCTAAGCGGGTTAGACATATTTAAATGGTTCTCAACTATATTTCGTACAAATATTTCAAGTAACTTAACGACCACGCTAGTCAAGCTGACAGGCCTGCAATTAGCCGGTAGGTCTTTGTTCCTGCACTTAAAAATCAGGCAGATAACAGCCTCCTTTCGTTCGGCAGGCGAGATACAGCTGCTGAGTGCTTCTGAAACACACAAGTCTGAGGTCCACTGAGTACCACTGTCAATTCGGGCAACGAGTTTGGATAAACAGAATCTGGCCCGGAAGCCTTAGTTGGGTTTACCTCTCTTAGCAACCGGAGAACTTGAGACTCAATTACAGGAATTTCATCCAGACAACAGTCCTCAGAGACTCTTGAAGCTAACTCTTTGCATGGCGTATTTGTTTCGCGGACAAAGACGCTTGAGTACGGCTTACCAACCATGCATGCCTTGTCATAGTCGCTATAGGCATGGGTCCCATCTCCTCGAATCAATGGTGGAATGGGCGAGTTTGCACCATAGCATCGTTTAACATAAGTGAAGAAATTCTTGGAATTTTTTGAGGCAGTATTAGCTAAGCCATTTTCATAATGAAGCCGGGCCAACCTAAGATGTAGCTTGCACACATTTCGAACCAACCGTTACTTGTCAAACGTGCCGTTCGGTACGCACGCGAGCATCTAGACCGCTTCTTTAGCAGGCCCTTCCGCGCGGAATCTATCCACGGAGGCTGCGCTTTCGATTCCCTTCTTTTTACCAGTGGGATTTGAGGTGCAGCAATGTCGACGAGGTGAGCCTTAAGTTTCTCCCAGGCTAAGTGAGCAGTATCGGTCTCAGACACCACACAAGGCGAGGACATAGCTTTATCCCGCATCGCTTGGAAGTCCGCGGCCCAAATGTTCGGATATCAACTGGTGGCAGCTTGGCAAGGCCTGATAAGTTCACACTGGAAGGACAAGCAAAAGTGATCGCTAGCGCCAAGAGGCGAGTAGTATTTAATGTCATTTACAAAGTCAAGTGACTTAGCAAAAACAAGATCTAAAATGGACGGCTGCTGGTTGCGCATGTAACTAGTGGGGTGGTCCACGAACTGGTGTAGTGGTACCTGCAGCGTCAAGTCGAGCAGCATTATACCAAACGATTCCAGAGCCGCACTGCTAGATCATCCCAACAAACCACTGGGAGTTTGAAGTCTCCCAGCACCAGACACTTGTTCGCAGAATGCGCATAAACTCATTGATTCCATTGGACGTGCTCATAGGGCTTCTATACACTAACACGATCGTAACCTGAACCGAGGAAGCGCAAATCAATACTGCGAGAGCCTCAACAGATTTGTCGAGAGACTGAAAAATGCGCGCGCGAATCACACCACCGTCAACCAATTTATACCCAAGCGACCTGCATTGGCATTCCAGCCGCAACGGTCACGCGAAATAAGAAACAGAAGTGCGAAAGAAGTAAGAGCGTTACCAACCAAAAAGTGATAGATGTAATAGTTAAATAATGCGAACAAGCTAGGACGTGAGGCTGAAGGTTAATAATTGATGGACAAGGGCGTCAAGGCGGTGCTCTAACGCTTGCACCGCTAGTGCAAACACCACGTTCTTGGGCAGAGGATTACAGGAATCTACCAGTCGGCGTGATATACGAAAGTCCAGCTGAACTCCATCCCATCGAGTTTTGTGTAGCTTCATCGAGTATCCTCGGATAGATGGAAGCCGAGCCGGTTAAAAAGCCCACATCAATCGGCTCCGATTTTACTAGCAATTATGCGATAAGTCCAGACCAGGTCGCCTCGATGGTGAGAATAATGCATTGAGAACAAGTAGTCTTTCTGGGTACGAAAATCTCCTTGGTCAATGAAGCATTATGGTTCCAACGCACAACACTCGCTCCACTGACATCTTGTCCTTGACTAAACAAGGCGGACGGGCGTAGATTCAGTATTCCAAGTGTGGCCCGACAAAGATTCAGCGTGCCCTGCAAATCAACCACAACCTGCGGAAACCCTTGCACTTAGCTTTCCTCCAGTTCGTACTGGATTTAAGTTCTGAAGACAACATGAGCCCTAAGTCTACCAGTTGGGAAACATGGTGTCGTTCAATACCGCCAAGCAGATAACGCGCATAGGGGCCAGTTGGCCCTAATCGTAACATGGAACACGTTACATAATTTATGAGTACCTGCCACAGAGCAGGTAAATGTGCATCCTGCGAAATTTCTTGCGCCAACAAACGCATAGCTAAGCGTGACCTCCCTATACCAATTTACAATGTTAGCGTGACATAATTGTTCAGGTTCATGTGGTACTTAAATGATAAGACAGTCGTTCGAGTAGGGTTTTCCCAAGCGGATATTTGAGTACAGAATCAAGATTTGCCCCATAAAATGGACCAAGTTACAAAGCAACGTCTAACGCACCACTGCGACAAAAACTACCCTTCATGTTTTCTGTCATTGCACTCCTCCTGAATGTTGCAAGCTACCGAAAGAAAATGAAAATTAGACAGGGAATGTCAGTTGAAGAAAAAATACCAGAGAGTGTGGAAACGTGCAGAAAAGATATCAATGTAGGGAGATGGATACGGAGGTGAGGAGGGAGATATTCTCTGCCATTCAAGGGCAATAAATTTGCGCCCAAAATATCCTATTGCAGGTTCACGGCCTATACATTCTTTTAGAAAGTATGATCACTCGATAATACGACGCCATAAAGTATATCCGTTCTAATCGTGTCGGAACGATGCATATATATCTTCCAGGGATGACGTGAATACCAGACATCCTGGCATGACTAAATAAACAAGAAAGGTCTGTCCATACCTAACCAGTTACTATGCTGTTAATGCAAATGAAGTCTTCTTGAAGCCGCTGCTAGTGCACCAACTGCACACTCTAAATAATTTGGTGATCGTGGCTGGTTGGGCTCCAATACCGCACTGAATGTAGCCTCTGGCCCCCTATTATTTCCCGGATGTGGCTCGAAGAGCAGGCATGGGCGCATGGTTACAGGTTGGACCAACCAAAAGTTAAGGACAGTCCCACAAAGTCAGCAACAGTTTAAGCTCCGCAAGTGCCGCGTATAACCGAAACAACTTGAACTGCCTGCATGCGTCCTTCATGCAGTCGTTGCCCGAGTGCGAAGTCGCTAACTGGATAAGTTTTAGTGGGAACTGCTTGGGACAAATGTGAGCTCGACCTCACCGAGCACATACACCGAAGGTTGGAAGGCTGCTACCAGCTTAAAAGTGGATTGCCGAACCCAAATGACGGCCGCAGCCAAATAGTGGACCAGTCCCAGACCCTATCCAGTCGCTGCTGAATGGCGTCCTTGAACATCAACAACAAGCTGGTTACTCGGTC